GAATTCCTCCAGCAGAGATGCACGCACATCCAGCGCCCGATCGTCAATATTTCTACATGTTTCTCTCTACATTCTCTAGTTTCTTTGCTCTGTTTTGACGTCCCCTCCATCTGAAAGACATGCAACTTTGGAAGAGCTTGGCAACCAGGTAGTGGACAGCTGTACAGCAACAGCATGCCGTTTCTAGCAAACAACATTCCCTGTATTTTCGCCGATTCAGTCCACGATCACTTGGTTTGTGGATGTATATGGTTGTTTGACTGACGCCCGAGTGGAGGAAACCGCAGAAGGGCGAGGGAGAATGGCTTCGAAAGAGCGTCTGTACGAGCTCTGGATGTTATATTACACTAAGGTGAGTCACGAACGCGCGAGCCGCTCGACACCTGTTGGCTTTGGAGTTTAAACTTGCCGCTGTCAATTATTTCATGTCTCATCCTTTATTTATTTATAGGGCAAGTGTATTCACCGCAATTCCTTGTCCTTTTGTGCCGAAACAGTTTCAGGAAGTGCGCCTTTGGTTATTCTTTTTTTTTTTTTTTGGGAAGGTTGCGCGTGCACGACGCAGTGAAAACATTTGACGCTCGCTCAATATTTTATTTATCAGCATGCTGTTCTTAAGCGACTCGCTGTTGTGATGACAGGGACTGGTTTTATTTTAGCTAAGCTTATCAGTTTATCATATAGCTTGTCAATTTGATGCTGTTTATTGTCATACTGTGGAGTTGTAGTCAGTGTTTACCTGCATGAGTCAGTAATGTCATGCTTCTTCCTGTTCAGTGCTGTTATTCCTCGTATATATTCTCTTCAATGCAATATGGTTTACGAGGTCTGCTTTGTGAATTTGACTTAAATAAATAGAAAATAATGCTCTTTAAAGTTTTAACTTAAATACATTTAAAGTACTTGTCTTGTATATAAATTACGTATTACTTATGCTGACATTTTACTTAATCTCTTTTTTTTTTTTTAGCTATGATGACTAATTCGCCAACGAATTGCTCTTTTAAGTTGAACTTGGGGCATGTTGTTCATTTAGTTTGACGTTTGGTCAAGAGTTCTAAGCAGATCTTTGTCATAAATTAAAAAAAAAAATCTGTCAGAAATTGACTCATTGAATGGGGAATTATCTGTTTACAGTTTAATAATTGTTTTATCACCAGTTTTATTACTTTGTTTTTGTCAGCTCAATAGAAGAATAATGCAAGCTGATCTGGGTGTTGTTAAATAAACATACGCAATAAAAGTGTGTAAAATTGAGTTCAATAGATTGTGTTAAAAGAAATACAGGGTAAATTGTTTTGGAGAGTCAAAACACTTTAATTAGCTACTTCAATGTTTGTTTTCCAGAATGTTGTTTTGTTCAGCCAGAAAAATCTTCTTTATGTAAAAAACAAACAAACATTTTAATTTAAATTCCCCTAGAAATCATATTAATTTAACTAACATATTTATTAATGTTGCTCCAATTGACAATTTTGACAACAAACATGGTGAGGAGGAGGTGTCTGTTAAGTTGTAATAACTCTGCCCAAACACTTTCCCCGATATTTCTGAATGAAATGTGTACTTTACTACATCCATTCAGCTCACAGTATAAAAACAAGCCACAACCACTGTTTTCTCATTTAATATTCTGTTTCTTTAGGGAAAAAAAATAAGTTACAGCTTCCTGTTTATGTTAAGTTGTTACAAAAACAATATTGATGATGTGACTTTCTGGGAACGTTAATTTGTGGTTTACAAAAGTATTAAATCAAGTATTATAACAGATAAAAACTACAGAGAATTTCCCCAGAATGTTTTTTTTTTTTTTTTTTTTTTTTTTTGATTTCTCATAATAACAAAACCATGTTAAGGGAATGTTCTGTGTTAGCTGGGTAGCTCTTGGGGATACGGTGAGATCTTATGATGGTCTTACTTGTGGACACAGTCTCTCACATGATGAGCTTATGTTTTGTTTACAGTGGCTAGGGAGAACACGCTTTGCATTGTTCATCAAAATAGTACCTTATAATGATACCTATACTGTATTACGAAAAGCAAACAAAAATGTCATCTGCTAAAGTGAGAGTTACCATGTATATAGAAAACTTGAGCTAATGTCTTTATTAAAAGTCTTGTTTGTTGAGGCAGTTCTAGTAGTATTGTTCAAAGTATTGTTTGGCCTCTTGCACAAATTGATTGTTTCATTGGCATTACATTGGCGTGAGTTTCCTCTGGGTGCTTCAGTTTTGCCCAAAGTTCAAAGTAGGCATGGGCTGAAATAAGATTCTGATGGTATGATAACCTTGGATAAAAATATCACGGTTTCATGGTATGGTGATTACTGCTCTAAAAAATATTCTTTTAAAATGTCTGGGTAAAAAAAACAAGATTTTTTTTTCGCTTTCCTGGAGATCTACCTTCCTGCAGATTTCAGTTGCAGCCCATATCAAACACACCTGCCTGTAATTATCAAGTACTGTTCAGGTTTTAATTGGTTCAGGTGTGTTTGATCAGGGTTGGAGATGAATGGTGCAGGAAGGTCGATCTCCAGGAACAGGGTTGAGCACCACTGCTATATAGTATGCTAAAATCAGTATGCGAGCTGAGTAGTAAGTCCAGAATTTATAGAATTAAAAAAACATTATGCGAGAAGTACCCGGATGACCTACTACTTCTGGTGATATTGTGAAGGGCGAGCCTTTATACTACTCATATTCACACTGTATGGAACATACTTCTCTATCAGTCAAGTAGTAAATTCAAATGCAATAGCTACTGAGTAGTAGGCGACTTTAGACACAGTTAATATATAAATATTTTGAGAAACATTTAAAATATTTTGGAACAGTAAACAGGCTAAATAATTCAAATGAGTCATTGACTTCTGCTGTCTTCAGTAGTTTCAAAAACATCTTTGGCATCTTTGGATATCTATTCTGCTGAAGATATTATTGTCCTAATAAACAAACAAAAAAAAGTTAAATACTTACATATATCTTAGGAACGATATAGCACAAAGTTCTTGTGGTTTTCAAACCTTGACTTTTCAAACTGCGGTATACCTTGAAAACAGTTATTGTCCTATGCCTAGTCCAAAGACATGCGCTATAGGTGAATTGAATAACCTAAATTGGCCGTAGTGTACAGTATGTGTGGGAATGAGTGTGTATAGGTGTTTCTCAGTACTGAATTGCAGCTGAAAGGGCATCCACAGTGTAAAACATATGCTGGATAAATTGGTGGTTCATTCTGCTGTGGCGACCCTGAAGGAAAATAAGTGAAAATGTTTTATTGGTGTTTTGCCTGTCCTACTTTAAATATCCATTTTATTCATTTGTTGTGTTTTAGTGTAATGTAAAACGTTTAAAAATGACCAGTATTTATTTATTTATTTTTTATTCAGCTTGCCATCAATATGTGCATCTATGTCTTTTTCATGTATCTAGGATGTCAGAGGCCATAAAATGGGCATAATATGGCATAAAATAATAGTTGATTTTGTTTCTCTCTTTGAAACTATTCTGGTAACGAGTAGGGCTTCCCTTTCCTATGCTATGAATAAGAAATGGACATGTCCTTAGAACAATGGTTATGTTGACAACACCCTCTGGCGGTGCGTACAAAGACCGTATTGCGCTACTGCACAATTTTAACATTATTGTGAATTATTGAAGTAAATATTTTCCATCTGAGGCTCTGTCATGCTGGCCACTTAGCTGGTCGGCAGCTGAAGTCAGCTGTTCTCACTATAGCAAGTGTTCTTTATGAATGGCTGCCATGGCAACCAAAACAGCAGGTGCAGGACACAAGAAGCACCAGGGGTCACCGTAGAGAAATGCATACTTCCAGATCACTCTTTTAATTCAGTGCTTTATTATACTATAATAGCAGATTGCATGGAATAGCAGCGTTATGAATTATGCAATCATGTTCCAGTCTGGTCTTGCTGCTGGCACAAAGTTCTCCTGATAGCTGGGGGTGTTTCTCAAGATCTCATTCATGATTAAGCCAAAAACAAATCCTTTGTCATTAGATTCCCATATTTAGTTATAACTTCACACATACAGCCAGTCGATATTAGACTTGTCATCAATTGTCTTCCGGTATTATCACAGTATTGACCTGATCTGCAAAAAAGGCTTTGAAAAAAGATTCTTTCAACACATAATAGTTTTAATGATTCATTTCTAATGACTGATTTATTTTATCTTTGCCATGATGACAGTGCATCATGTTTTACTTGATATTTTTCAAGATGGTGTCACGGTGGCAATCCATCTCCCTTTTCTGTCAGTAGTAACGCAGTCACTCAGAGTAAATCAGAAATAGATTGGTCTTCAGTTTACTGTTGGAGGTTAGGGGTGGCACAGTTGGTAGCACGTTCACCTTATAGCAAGACGGTTGCTGGTTCGAGCCTCGGCTGGGTCAGTTGGCATTTCTGTGTGAAGTTTGCATGTTCTTCCCATGTTCACGTGGGTTTTCTTTGAATGCTCTAGTTTCCACCACAAGTCCAAAGACATGCGGTACAGGTGAATTGGGTAAAAATTGTTTGTAGTGTATGATTGTGAATGAAAGTGTATGGGTGTTTCCCAGTGAAGGGTTGCAGCTAGAAGGGCATCCGCTGTGTAAAACATATGCTGGATAAGTTGGTGGTTCATTCCGCTGTAGTGACCCCAGATTAATAAAGGGACTAAGCTGAAAAGAAAATGAATGAATGAATGTACAGCCCCAGTAATTAGGCAAGTCATCATTGTATAATGATGGTTTGTACTGTAGAAAATTGAAAGAAAAAATAATTGCTTAAGGGGGCTAATAATATTGACCTTGAAATGGTTATTTTAGCTTAAAAAAAGAGATCAGACTTTCTCCAAAAGAAAAAAAAAATTGTAGGAAATACTGTGAAAAGTTCCTTGCTCGGTTAAACATCGTTTGGGAAATGTATAAAAAAGAAAAGAAAAACAAACAAAAAAATATATTAATTATTCATTCATTCATATTCTTGTCGGCTTAGTCCCTTTATTAATCAAGGGTCGCCACAGCAGAATGAACCGTCAACTTATCCAGCAGGTTTTTACGCAGCGGATGCCCTTCCAGCCGCAACCCATCTCTGGGAAACATCCACACACACTCATTCACACTCACACTCATACACTATGGACAATTTAGCCTACCCAATTCACCTGTACCGCATGTCTTTGGACTGTGAGGGAAACCGGAGCACCCTAGGAAACCCACGCGAGCGCAAGGAGAACATGCAAACTCCTCAAAGAAACGCCATCTGAGCCGAGGTTCGACCCAGCGATCTTCTTGCTGTGAGGCGACAGCACTACCTACTGCACCACTACGTCGCCTACATTAGTTATTATT